CCACGGACGGATGCAGTGAGGCACAATGGAGGTGCCCATTACCAGAACCATCTTTGGGGCCAGTTCAGGGCTGGTGTCCACTCAAGACAACCTGGGGCACAATGTCCTAGGCCAAGTGCTGCCTGCTCTGCAGAACACAGTGCTGGAGGGGAGGCAAGGAGTTCTGAGGCTCATGCCCAGCGCGCTTCTCTGGCCTTCTGCTGTCATGCTGTCCAGCAGGACACCACAGTCCCAGTAACAGAGTGATTAAGGCAACCAGTGTTCAGACTACGTGGAGAGGCCTTGATGCAATCGGACGCTGGAGACGGCGGGAAACAAGAAAAAGTGGAGCAACAGCAGGAAGCATGCAAGGAGCAGGGAAGATTGGGGTGGGGGGTTGAGGCTCAGGGCTGACCATGGTTTTCTCACGCCGCGTCGCGCCTCGCCACAGACAGAAAATGCTCAGCTTCCCCTCCCATCGGTGTCCAACTGGAACCATCTTCTCAGGCAGTTTCTCTCCTTACCAACGCCCAAAACGCCACGTTCCTGCTGCAGGCGGCTGAGTGAGGCAGACGGAGGGGAAGAGCTCCAGGCTGCCACTGACTCCACACGCTCGCCTGCCCACTGTCGCCTGCGTGCCCGAAGGAGTAGATTCCTACTGGACTCTGCAGCCGCTGTCGGCTCCCCATGGTGCATGGGCACGTGCTCGGTGGCAGAGGGGCTGCTGACAGGCACCCAGCAAGGTGACAACTTCGATACGCCCCAGGCAGTTCTGCTCTGTTCCACTGAGGGTTGGGCCCTGTGAGCCGGGTCCGTCCAGCAGTCAAAGGCAAACCACCACAGGGCCTGTAACCCCATGTAGGCCCTCCAGAGCAAGGACATGGCTGTGACTTGTGTGACAGAGGAAGCGGCACCAGAGGGGCAGGTGACAAGAGGCCCCCCTGTGCCGACCCCCCAGGACAGGGTTCCTCAACAACCCTGAGAAAGAAAACTTCCTTCTTGACCTTGTTCGGCCAGGGCTGTAACTTTACCATGGTCGCAGAGGAAAGCACAGCTCTGTCCTGACTACAACAGCAGTATTCAAATGTGACTATTTTATTTCCTTAAAAAGAAAAAAGAAACAAAAACCCTTAGAAAGATAGGTATGCTTCCTTGCAAGCAAAACAGAGAGCAAGGTATCACCATGGTCCCTGTGATTACTGAAGCCATGGACGATCTGGGAGATGGACTGGGGGCTTTGGAGATGCAGGGTCATCTTGGGAGTGCAGACCTGTCCCCGAGCTCTGTACACAGTGGGCAGGACCAAAGCCAACCACAACCCCATGGGCAGTTAAGCGCCCCCGTGACCTGGGTGAAGATGGCAGGGTCTGCCGGGGGTGGGGGTGGGGTGGGGGGCCCTAGCAAGGCGCTGCTGCTCCCTAAGCTGTCAAAGACTCCCTGGTGCAGAGACACATACACCCCCACCCCCCCGGCTGGGTCCTGGCTGTCCCCAGGGCGAAGCACGTGCATCATGGAACCAGTTTCGAATTGAGTTTTATAAATATGTACAAATCAGTTACAGGCACTTGAAATGTCTTTGGCTGGAATAACCCAACATTGCAAGACAATGTGTTCACAGAGTGTCCAGGCCGACCGGGTGCAGCAGGCAATGATTGATTGCAGTTCTCTCTGTCTCACGCAGGAAAATCTGGGGCGGTTAGGCTTCAGCCAAAGCCACCTGGAAGAGAGCAGGACAGACCAGCCGGTCGGAGAGGGGGTAGGCCACTCAACCCCGCCTCCCCAGAGCAATGGACAGGAGGTGGCCCTCATCCTGTCATCCTTTGAGGTTTGCTTCCACCCAAAAAACAAAAAAGCTTTTCTCATTGGTGCAAAAATACGGAGGAGCTTCTAGACATTGGTAGGAAAACGCCCATGGATTACCTGAAGACCCCTCAAATTTTGAGACACACTTGCCTGTTCGGTCTTCTGCAAGGGTAGGATTGAGTAAGCTGACAGCAGTCACGTGGTTGCCATCCCTGCCTCCCAAAAGATGACAGCCCCAGCCCGACCCTCCTGACCCCTGGGGCTGTAACTTCACATCAGCAGGGCACAACAGTTGCTGTCCCTTTGACTGAGCGACTCCTCACCCACGTCAGCTGCTCTCTAACAGAGACGAGAGCTACTCCCACAGCCGCTGCCTTCAGCCACCGGGTTGAGGCAGAGGAATAAAGACTCATTCTGACGGTGCTCCCATGGTATAGTGCTTACGCAATGGCCTGCTAACTACAGGTCGAAACCACCAGCCGCTCTGCAGAAGAAAGATGAAGCTTTCTCCTCCCTTAAAGAGTGACACTCTCGGGAATCCACAGGGGCCGTTCTACCCTGTCCTTGGGGCTGTGTGAGCCTGCATGGACATGCTGGCGGCAAGAAAGAATCCCCAGGAGCCCTGCAGACACTACTGCGTAAGCAGTGGGCTACTAACCCTCAAGTTGGTGGTTCAAACCCCCCAACGAGCCGCTGCATGGAGGACAAGGCTCGGGGCAACCTCCGGGGCAATTCTCTCTAACGGAGAATTGATCCATGCTGGAGTTGGAGGTTCTGACACAGAGAACGGCGGGGCCTTCTCAAGGAGTGGGGCACATGGGAGGGAGTCAAACCCAGGCGCCCCTTCAGCTCACCTTCTCAGGACAGAATTCAGGATTGCTCTGACGTAGTTTGCTCGGTCTGCCTTTGATAACAGCGTAGCAGAACATGGTTATCACCATCACGAAGAGGAAATAGCTGGTGTGCATGAGGTGCAGGTTTATCAGGGAGCGGTCATCCTACCCAGAGGGGCGAGACACAGGGTGAGAAGCCTTCCCTCATCCACAGCTCCTGCTGGCTCCAAGCTTTGGCAGCTGGACATCCAGAGGTGCCGTGGTGGTGTTCCTGAGCAGCCTGGTCTCTGCCCATGGGACTCCACTCTGTCAGAGCCTCCCTGCCCAGGGACCCCTGACTCCGTCTCCAATAGTAGTCATCTGACAGGACTTCCAGCTTGTCAGGTCATTGCACACTTCACAGGCTGTGGTCTAGCACTGACATCTCCTCTGTACGTAGTGGAGGCCAAGGCTCTGATGTGATGCCATTGTGCCACTCGCTATCCCGCAAGGGGGCCTGGAACCGAGCCTGCAGCCCTTGCAAGGTCGGCCGGCCTCAGCAAGTCTCCAGGCACCGACTGTGGATGAAGCTATGTGCGTCCAGATGACTAGAGTCCTTCCTCCCTTTTCTTTGCAAATTCCAGCCCTACTCTGCCTTCAGTATCTGGCCAAGAAGCCATCCCCCAGCCCCACTCCTACTGTCCAAACTCTGAAGGTCCTGTCCGTGCTGACACAAACCACCCACCCACCCCCTCTCATGGACTGGTGTCAATCTCCCCAGAACTCCCAACCTGCCCTTGGAGCTGCAGTGGACGACGGAGGATCAAGACGGAAGAAAGAACAAGACCCGTCCCCTCCAAGAATGTGGCAATTTCTCAAGTCTTCCCCTACTCCCTCATCTCTTAACCCAGCCAAAAATCTAGGCAGGAGACGGCAACCCAGGGAGAGAGTCGGGGCCCTCTATAAGGGTGGGCGCACTGGCGCACAGTGGCTCAGCATTTGGGGGCTGCTCCACATGAGAAAGAGGAGGCTGTCTGTTTCTGTCAAGATTTCCGGCTCCAAAAGCCCCCAGGAGCAGCTGCGCTGTCCTAGAGGGTCGCTCTGAGTTGGAACAGACCATGGCAGGGGGGTTGGGTTCTGAACAACCCAGGCCCTACCCCACTTGCTCCCTCTCACACGTATGTGCACATGCGCGGGTTTCCTGACTTACGTCTGGAACAATGACCGTGAGCTTGGGGTTGAAAGCATGGTAGACTTTCCCAATGGCCCCCTTGTAACACCAGAAGGGATTGTAGTCTTGGGCGTATTTTGTGTTGGCGTCCCTGGCTGTGGTGAAGATCTTGTACCAGAGCGTGGCGTTGCTGTATGTGTCCGGGATGCAGTGTGGGGGCTGTCTGCAAGGAGAGAGGGAGACACACAAGCTCAGTGAACAATGAGACCAAACACACGCCGCCCCTCTGCCCTGCCCAATCTCGGTGGTGCTGTGGGTTAGGCACTGGGCCGCCAGCCTTTGCGAAGGAGAAACACGCGGCTGTCTGCTCAGACTCCCTGTATCTGCTGCGAGAGTCAGGGCGGACTTGATGGCAGTGGGACTGATTTGGGTTTGAACCCTGCCCCTGGCACCTTCCGAGCCTAACCACATAGGTGGGGAGGAGGCAGAGATATGACTAACATGTTTCTGGCAAAATCAAGTTTCTCTGTCATATGTGATGTATTTTTTCTATTTTCAGTTTCAGGTCTTTTAATTTTTAATAATACACATGGAACAGAAGACAGGCACCTGACATAAAGCAGTTGGGTGTTAGACCCTGGCCTTTGGAATCCCAACAACTGCTGATGGGGGCCCCCCTGGTCCTCCGAAGTCTATTAAGTTCTGGGCCACACCCAGAGGCTTCGGGAGTTATCAGCACCAGCAGGCCCAGCCTGTTTGCTCTTGCCCTATAGACATCGAGATAGCGAAACTAAGCCCCGCCCCCACCCCCAGATAATGATTCTGACTACAAAGGATTCACCACAGAATTCTTTTCAATCGGTTCAATGGGCCGTGTCTGGGGCTTCAGTTCTCAACCTGGGGCCATGGTGGCTCAGTGGTCAAGCACCCAGCTTCTAACTGCCATGTCGGCCCTGGGAACCCACCAGCTGCTCTCTCAGGGGAGGGCAGTGGCAGTGAGCTTCTAAAAAGAGGATAGGAAGGTCTGGGTGACCCTGGGAGGGTTGCTCTGCTCTGTCCTTGGACTTCTTTTAGTTTTGTTTGTTTAGAGAGGCTTTCTACCAGTACATTATAAGTCTTGACAGAGAAAGGAGAGGTCAATAAACAGTGTTTCTAAACTGAAAGACAACACTGATTGGCATAGAACAAATCCAAAGCAGAAGTCTCACAGAGGCGTGGCTATGCCGATGGAAAAGCAGGCTCCGTTATGCCCCTGACACTTTCTGGATAATGAAGGGGAAGCACCCTGATCTTTCAGCACCTTCACTGGGGGTCCTTCTGGCCACTTGCATCCATCAGCCCAGGGTCAAGTGGGCTTTGTCAGGACTGTGGCACCCTTGCTTCTCCCCTCGAAGGAAAGGTGACCTAAAGGTGGCCGCAGGACCTGGCTGAAACACTAATCACCTGTGTCGGCATGTAGAAGGCTGCCTCCCTCATGGACCCCGACAGCCACAGCCTCACAGAGCCCGCCCACGGGACTCGGCGCTCCACACACTTACACGGTGACAGGGAACACCCCAAGGGCGGCAGTGAGGGTCATGCAAGTCGTGAAGACCACCTGCTCGCAGTGGCCGTGGAGAGCACAGTCATCCGCGCTCCAGGCTGTGGGCAGCGTGAAGGTGACATTGATCTCCTCATGAGCCTCCCTGCCTGGGGGAGGAGAGAGAAGAAGCCCCACCATCAGTGTCCTGAAGCCAACCACCTGGGCCCCCAAGTAGGCCAGACGCCTGCCACTGTGAGGTTTCAGGAACAACAGATATGTGGAGTTGACACCACGGCCCAGGGTCAGACAATAACGACGATGACACTGTTCGGAGAGAGGCCTCTCAGGAGCCCAGGCATCATCCACCACAGAGTGCTTCTTTGGACAGGTAGTTTAGCGTCTGCCAGTACACTTACCATCTTCCAATCTCTTCCTAATGGCCGGGTTCACTTACATACCCCCCACCATGAGTGTCGCCGCTCCCAAGGTTCCGAGGGCTTGGCAGACGTTGAGGAAGGCCGGCCTAAAACTGCACAGTGGTGGCACTTAAACTGGAACCTAGAGGAGGTCATGGAACTCCCCAGCCAATCAGGGGTCACGTATCTGCAACCACCCACAGGAGCCTGACAGGCCAGTTCCAACTCACTGTGACCCCATAACTGGGTACAAGAGAACCCAGACTGCCTGGCCGTGCGCCACCCCCATAACTGTCGTTGTGCTTATGCACATGGTGGCAGGTGGCAGAGCCAACCAGCAGTTTTTCTTCCAAGGCCCGGCCGTTCCCGCCTATTCCAGCTGCCATTGCCTCCCAACCTGCCCTGTCCTAACTGAACTAGCCCCGGATTTAGTGCTGGCTGGCTATCTTCACTACTTCCTATCAGTCCATTCTAAACAGGGCCTACCAAACATGTACAGGGTGCCTCCTGGGTGCCAGGTATGCTCACACCCTTCCTGCCTCTCCCAGGATCCCTAAGGGGAGAGACCAGGCCATGGGCCTTTTCTCCCTCCCGCAGACACTGGAGTGCGGAACAAAGCTACAACAGAACAAAGGGCAGCAGCTGCTGTGGTTTGTCTTCAAAGCCAAGAGGAGTGGCCTGGACCTAAGCTGCTCCTCAGTAGGTGAAGCTCCCAGGCCATGCTCCCAGGCTTTCACCAAGCAGCTGGCCAACTGTCCTACCCCCCACCATCTCCCTGTTTTGTTACTCTTGTGACAGTGTTGTATTGGGGTTTTGGTGCACGAAATGGTGCCTTCTTGGCTTTAAACTCAACCCAAGAAAAGACACAGGCAAACCAGCAGTCAGAGGCAGAGAGAAGCATTGGCGTGGCTCTCTCTTACCAGTAGCTGCTACAAGTTCTTGAGGGTAACCACCAGCACCCATGTACCTGAGAGCCCAATCTGCTGCCCTAGGACGGTCGAGTACAGGTGGGTGACGTTGCGCGAGTATCCCCCGAAAGGCCTGAGTGGGTCCAGCGTCAGGGTGATGGCTACAGAGATGTTCACAGAGCCTGAATCCTCCAGGCCCTGGGGGACCTGGGTGGGGCCCCGGGCCGGCCCGCTGTTCACTGTGCTTTCTGGTGTCGTCGTGTCATTGGTGAGATGCTTCAGTGTTTCGTTCTCGGATACACACAAGTCCAGATCATTAAGCCGCAGCAGGAACATGTTCCAGTCCTTCTGGGAAGCGACACAGAGAAACGGGGGTGAGTGGCCCCAGAGCATCCCCACGGCAAGACCACAGCCCCGAGTCTCAGTGGGGCATGGTGTCCCACCCTACAGAGCTCAGGGTCCAGTGTTTAGGAGCCACGGCCATGTCTTCACAAACCTCCCTCACCTTCATGATCTTGACTATGAGCATTTCAAGGGCAGGAGATTCTAAAATAGCTGAGATGTACGAATGCAGGCCAAGCACCAAAGGGCGCCTATAACACACTTACAGAAAAGGACCCGTTTGACTGGGAAGTTCAGAACCTGCTCACAGCCTCAAGGTCAGCTGTATCTACTCCTAGCCAAGTGAGTCACAGAAAAGGATAGAAGATAATGGTCGACCTTTCTCCCTGACAAGAGGAGGAAGTCAGAGCCAGAGCTGGACGAGGCCCTACCCGCCTGGCCCCGCCATACCTCGGCCATTCCTGGTGACTTAATCTCCTTGATTTTGAAGAAGTAGCCCAGGGTCAGGAAGGCGATGGCCATGGCGCTCACACTGATCATGAAGACCACCAGCGGGGGGCGGCTGCTGATGTACAGCTTCAGGTTCTCCAGGGGGTTGATGTTGAACATTATTCTGACAGCTCCACCTGAAAGCAAGGGGGTACGGACATCAGCTTGCTGGACAGACCTGCCAGGGGAAAACTGCAGAGAGAGAGAGAGAGAGAGAGAGACTGTGGTGCTGGTGGGGCACCACTCACTACTGAACTATTGAACTTGGGTAATGCATTGGTCATCAATCTACTCCACAGGCAAGGAGGGTAAAGCACCAACTGTGGTTAACTCAGCAAGGTGGGGGCCTGAAAAACAGCCACTGTCTCCGCTGGTCTGAAACTTCTAGTCTCTACTGAGCGGGCAATAATTCCACAATGCATACAAACAGTCTGGGAACACTCTCATTTCTGATCAGTGAAAAGATGAATCCTTCTGTTTAGGCAACATTCTGTCCTGTTCACTGTGACGAATCGTTGATGACCAGCCCAGCACTTGGCATGGAGTAGGCGCCCAATAAATATTGACTGAATTATATAATTTCCCCGCTTAAAGCCCTCAAAAGGTCAGTGGTTCAAATCTACCAGCCACTCCATGGGAGAAAGATGAGACTGCCTCCTCTATTGAGACTCAGTGTCTCAGGAACCCTTTGTGGGGTTGCTGAGTCAGAACAGACTCAATGGCAGTGGGGTTGAGTTGAGCTTTGGTTGGGTTTTTTAAATAGGCTGCCCCCTAGAGGCAAGATAAGGTCATCGCAACTCCCTTTCATGGCCCACCAAAACCCAAACCAAACTCACTGCAATCCAGAGAAACAGCTGTAAACGTGGTAATATTCAGAGCATGGAATGGACTAGGAATTCTGGGAGTTTTTTTTTTTTTTAATAAATGGAATGCTTGAAGACATATAGCCTAGACATTACGGAGCTAAAATGGACTGGTACTGAGCATTTTGAAACAGATAATCATATAGTCTACTCCATCAGGAACCCTAGATTTACTGGGCTAACCAAGCCCAGGTTCAAGCATAGGTTCAAGTACATCAGTCACTCCACAGAGGAGAAAGCTGGGGTTGTCTGCTCCCATAAAGCGTCACAAAGCCTCAGAAACCCTATATAGTGTCACTGTGAGTCTATGTACCAATGTACCAGAAATGACAAATTAAAGAGGGGCAACATCACAATTATCATGAGATGAGAACAATTCAAAGATACAACCTGAAGTACAATGCGGTCTGTGATGTCCTCCTCATGCCACAAAGAAGACCTCTTAAGACTATTATTTAAATTTATATCCAACCATGCATGACCAAATGAACATACTGACTTTTTTTAAACCAACTTCTGCAGTTTAACATTGATCACACACACCATCAAGATGTACCGGTGATGGGAATGTGAAGGCAGGAAACGAGGAGGGTCAGTAGTTGGATGTAAATATGGTGCTAGAAATAACGCTGGAGATCATGTAAGTTTTACAAAGTCAACAAATTACTCATGGAAAATACCTTTTTCAACAACACAAACAGCAACTAGACACATGGACCTCACCAGATGGAATACAGAGGAATCAGATCAACTACATTTAGGAAAAAAGCACAATGGAGAAGCTCAATATCACCAATCAGAAAACAAAGGTCAACTGTGGAGCAGACCATCAATTGCTTATATGTAAGTTCAGATTGAAGCTGAAAAAAATTAAAACAAGAGCCCACAAGAATCCACAAGAGCCAAAAATACAACCATGACTATATCCAATCTGAATTCAGAGACCATCTCAAGAACAGACTTGATGCAGTCGCCAGTCTTTTGTGGGATGACATGATTATCATACATGAAGGAAGTAACAGGTCATTAAAAAGACAAGGAAAGACCCAGATGGGTATCAGAAGAGAACCTTGCTCTTGAACGCAGTGTAGTCAAAGGAGGTTGTAGAACTGACGAAGCAAAAGGTGGTTAAACAGAAGATTTCAGGAAATGTGCAAAGACAGATTTTGAAAAGCCCAAGTGGAAGAACATGCTTGACATTTCTCAAGTTCAAAGAAGTGAAGAAAAAAATTCAAGGCTTGAATTGAAATGTTTCTGGGCAAAATACTGCTTCACAAACAGGATCAAAAGAAGATGGAAGGAAAACACTGTCAGTGTGCAAACAGGAACTGGTTGATGTTTAACCATTTCAGGAGATGGCATGTGACCAAGAACTGATGCTACCGAAGGAAGGAAGCCCACGCTGCAGTGAAGGCACTGGTGACAAACAAGGCCCAGGAGCGGATGGAAGAGCAGCTGGGATGTTCCAACAAACTGATGCAACACTGAAAGCTCTCGCTCATCTATGTCCAAGGGGGCTTCAAAAGGTCTGTGGGGAAATGCCATTTTCTTTTTTTTTCATCTTTTAAAAAATGTATTATTAATTGGGAGTTAATATATATGTATTCAATCATTCCTGTTCAATCACCCCAGGCAGTATTATACAATTGCTACAACAATCAGTTTACAATCATTCTTTTCCATCCCGGACTCCTTGACATTGTCTCCCTTTTACCCACACCCTCCATTATCTTTTAATGCCACTTTGCACGAACTTTTTGAAGACCCTGAATGGAGGGAGGGAGGGAGAGAGAGGGAGAGAGAGGGAGAGAGGGGAGAAGGGGAGAGAGGGCTAGAGCCCTCCATAGTGCAATGGTTAAGTGCTTGAGTGCTGACCAAAAGGCTTGGCTTTAACCCATCATCCACTCCACAGAAAAAAAGGCCTGGTGATTTGCTCCCATAAAGAAAGCCCTAGGGGGTAAAGAAGGGGCCGGCCTTCCAGCGACAGCAACCCAAGATGCCAGCCACCACTGGCTCGGAGTAAAAGTCCCTCGCAATTTCCGACTGTTGGAAGAACCTGAAGAAGGCCAGAAAGGAGTAGGAGATGGCACAGTTAGCTGGGGTCTAGAAGATGACAAAGACATGACACAAGATGGACAGGGATGATAACTGGCCCTTCAATAACAATTTACAAAAACCGGATATACAGCCTTAAATTGGAATGTGGACCTAAATACCCAGAGGCACCCCCCTTTGTAAGATTTGTAACAAAAATTAATATGAATGGAGCTAATAGTTCTAATGGAGTGGTGGACCCAAGAGCCATATCAGTGCTAGCAAAATGGCAGATTTCTTACAGCATCAAAGTTGTCCTGCAAGAGCTCCGACACCTAATGATGACTAAAGAAAATATGAATATGAAACTCCCTCAGCCGCCCGAAGGACAGTGTTACAGCAATCAATCACTAAAAAGAACCCACAGGCCC